AGATGGCTGCTTGCAAACTTTTAAGACCCCATTCACTACTCACTAATAGGATGTAGAACAATATTTTTGTGTAGTATGTTATGCTAATTCAGCTCAATATCCCCATTAACCATGGTATCAAGCCCACAAGCCCAACACCTCACTCCCTCAGGGCAATTGGCTGTAGCTAAGAAGTTATCATAACTTTGCCCCGTTACCATATACAAATATGTATGCCTTTGGTTATTTTTTTTTTAATAGGAAATGGCTTGATTTTTTTAATTTTCATAAGCATCTATCTATGTATTTGCCAGTTTTGAAACTTTCAAAATAATTTCTATTTGGAGATAGTGGAAGTTTCAAACTGTGTTTAATTTGCATTTACAACTCCCTAAAGTCATTGAATTTCTAGTATCTAAACTTTCTATAGCCTAGAAAAAGGCTGAGACCATTCAAGGCAATTATATTCTAAGACCATTAAAGTTTACTAAGAAAAAGAAAAGGTGCTTTGGTGGCAAAGTGGTTAAGCATTTGGCTGTTAACTGAAAGGTTAATTGTTGTAACTCACTAGTCTCTCAGCAAGCAAAAGAGGAGGCAGTCTGCTTCTGTAAAGACTACATCCTTGGAAAGTCTAGGGGGCAGTTCTACTCTGCTATGGGATAACATAGTACTCTGTATTTTGAGTCAGAATCAACTTGATGGCAATGGTTCTATGAAAGAGAAACAGAAAGAGTGCTTTGGTGCCTGAAAACTTGAAGGAGGTTGGGAAGGCCAAATACAGGATGGAGTTTAGGGAAAAGAAATTAAGAACAAGTACTGCATGTTGCAGTATGTACCAATATTAAGGTGGTACCATAGCATGTCTCTAACTCAGAAGGTTCTAGGGCATATAAACTAGGATAAGAATGGTTTTGAGGAATGCATTTGTGTACTGAGTTACTGTTTCACCCCACAGAATCACTTTAAAATCAGTGGCCTACAAGCAACTCTTCTGAGTACACTCTCCATCTCATGAACTGAACCTCCCCCAATCTGTGTACTACAATCCCTGGAAAACATACCAACCTTTTTATCAGTGGTATTAGTAGGCTATAGAGTTTTCTCAGATGTCTGAAAGCATATCATTCAGTCTTTCTATGGGGTCACCAATACCTGCTTCCCTCTATAATTTAGAAGTTCTCTGGAAACTTAGTGTGGGGAGGGAGAAATTCTTGTACTTTGTTGTTGTTGTTATGTGCTGACGAGTCGGCCCCGACTCATAGCGACCCCTCCTTGGGTTTCTGAGGCAGTATCACTACGGAAGTAGATTGCCCAACCTTCCTTCCAAGGCATT